GTTCTTTTTTTTTTTTTTTTTTTTTTTTTGGAAGCCCAGGTGGTTGTAGAGGGTGGATGCTAGACATATGACAGTCACCCTTGGTAATCGGGCATTCGGTTATCTGGATGGACCTGGACCCCTCAGAAGACCCCACCGACCCTTCCTCTTCCGCGGAGCACAACGCTCTGTGATGATGGTGACTGTGTACGAGCAATCTCTCTGTTGTAACATGGTCATGCCGATGTGGGACCGACCCTGTTGTGCTTTCGGGATGATGGTTTGTACTGCAATTTAGGTTATCTGATGCCAGGGGAGTCAACCTTAGGGCTCAGAGAGCACGCAGGGCCCCAGGTATGTCTTCCTTACAACCTCAAATATGTTCGGGAGACGCCAGCTGTCCTGCTGAAACTATGGACACACAAGTCCCACCTGCCATCATGACGGTGCAAAAGCACGTCGGGCAGATGATCTTTTTTTTGGGGGGGAGGGAAGGACGCGGTAAGTCACAAAAAAGGGAGTTACAATTGCAGTATGGGGCAAGATACACTTCGCAGTTGCAGTTCAGGTACCCTACCTGGCCAGAAAGCTGGGTTGTATACATTGCCCGAACTGCGTTTCGAAACTGTATCTTGGCCCATAGTGCAATTCTAACTCATTTCTGTTACTCCCGCGTACTAGTTTCCCCTTTTTCTTTTCATAAAAAGCCCAGGTTTTTCTCTTTTTTCTTTAACGTCCAGGTTGTTGTAGAGGTTGTCGGGCGGATGATTCTAGTGGCTGGCAACTCTGAGACTTGCAGGCATGACCAGAAGCCGGCAGCAGATACATTTCACTCTGACCGGAAGACGGCGGTAGATGCATTTGTCCCTCCAATATTTCGTCTTTGAAAGCGTTGTGACGATGCGAGAAGCAAGAAACCCAATGATAATGAGAATGATAATGACATTCGCTGTGGTGTCGGGCCGTGTCTGCGTGCAGCAGCGCCAGTCATGCAAAGGTTTTGCAGCGCTTCTATGGGGGGCAAACCCCATGTGGTGGGGACCGACTGACAAGGTCACGAGGACTCTCAACGTGAAGCAGGGTCAGCGTATCGAGGTCGAGGTTATAACTCTCTAAGTGGGAACATCAGACACTTAGAGCGTATCGGCTAGTAGGGAGTCAGGTACTAGCCTAGACCTGCAATGTGTCATCTTACGAACTAGTCGCCAATGTGTGAGTCAGTGAGTCCATATCAGCTGCGGAGGAAGAGTCGTGGCGTACACCAACGCCAGAGCACATCCAACACCCAATGATGGTCGATGACGGCGATCTCCGTTTGGGTTTCGTGGATCTGCGTAGGGGTGTTGGGCCCGATTCCCAGCAGATACATTTGCATCACTGTACAGGGACGCTGGACCTGATTTCCAGCAGATACATTCTCATGATTGTACTGGGACGCTGGACCTGATTTCCAGCAGGTGTAGCTCCCCACCAATAGATGGAGCTTTCGACACCGGGGCCTACTTACTGGGGATGCTACTTTTTTTTTTTTTTTTTTTTTTCCCCTAAAGTCCATGGTGTTGTAGAGGCCAGTCACTGAGTACACAGTGATCACCTGGAGTAGTAGGCTGCAGGTGTCCTGGAATATGGGACCACCTCCCATCCCATCCGTACGTCAATGCTCCTAGCGCACCCCCTATCCCACTATCCTACCTCAGTGTGGCCAGCACTCAGGACCATTACCCTACCAATGGGCAGGTAACTTGGACCGAACAGCAGTGATAGGCACCATGGCTGATAGGTTACCCAGCCATGGTGGAAGCGGAGTCGAACGAGCCTTGTCGAACGGGAACTTCGGACGCCAGGCCCAGACAATCTACCACAGGCCCCAAGAGACTCTAGACCCTAAGTTCAGACATCGTAGGCGCTGAAGCGACTTATTTCCATCCTGCCCTTCCCCTAGGGTCTAAGCCTTATAAAGCCACCAGACAGTTCTATCCGAATATCAGGCGGAACTCCGGCGACCCTTATCTTAGAACCCCTCAGTCACCCCAAGAGACTCTAGACCCTAGGTTCAGACACTGTAGGCGCCGAAGCGACTTATTTCCGTCCTGTCCTTACCCTAGGGCCTAAGCCTTGTAATATGCCCGAAGGCTGTGTGTGCTCTGTGATCAATGTAGCATCATGTATGTATTTCGAACCGAGAACGGGGTAAGCTCGAATATCAGGGGGACTCCGGAGACCCTTACCTGTACCTACTACAGATACTGGACCCCACCCAGTGACTAGATCCCCCCAGTCACCCCAAGAGACTGTAGACCCTAGGTCCAGACACCGTAGGGGCCGAAGTGACTTATTTCCGTCCTGCCCTTACCCTAGGGTCTAAGCCTGATAATATGCCCGAAGGCTGTGTGTGCTCTGTGAATCAATGTATCGATCCGGACCAAGCTCGAACCAGTGACCTTGTAGCATATAATCGAATGAGTGTACCATGTGAATACTAGCGGAAGTGGCACGAACATGTGATATGCCTGACTGGGGAGATAGACCGAACAACCAAGACCAACGCCCCCAAGCAGCCCATGTGAAACCCAGAACCAACATACAACACCATGAACAGCCCTTGGGTGGTGCACAGGCAGTGTCTGTAATAGTACCATGCGTCAGCCCAAGGGAGTGTATGTCCAGCCGTGCGTCAATCTAACGCCCTGCTGGCGTCAATCTAACGCCCTCCCGGTGTCCATGCCCAAGGCTGCGATTGAGTTTTGAATCCGCAACCTTATACCAGAATGTGCATTTCCAACCGGTGCTCTAACCACTGAGCCACATCAACTGGACATGGGATGCTCTTATCACCTCGTTAAACCACCAGCACCTACCGGTTGGGCCGGCCGTTAACGTGGAAGCCGAATTGGCCTGCTCCTCGGGTCCAAATTCATTTGAGGCCGGGGGGTTCGAAAAATGCAGTACGTACTGGTGGTTTAAGTAGGTTTCCTGTATAACGAAGTTTCACAAAAAAAAACGGCCTCTACAACAACCTGGGCTTTATGAAGAAAAGAAAAGAAGAGAAAAACTTCAAAAAAGGGGTAACATCAGTAGAGTCACAAAAAGGGAGTAATAACTCATTTCATGATTTTTTGTGACTCTGGTGTAGTTCCCCCCCCGCACCCCCCCTCCCAAAACACAAAGAAGGTCACAAAATACACAGCAAAAATGTTCCTCCTTTTTTTTTGTTGTTGAAAAAACAAAAAGGGCGACAGCCTTTTTTTTTTTTAACTCAAAAAGTCCATGGTGTTGTAGAGGCCAGTCACTGTGTACACAGTGATCACCTGGAGCAATAGGCCGTGGGTGTCCTGGAATATCCTCCCATCCCATCCTCACGTCAATACTCCTAGCGCACCCCCTATCCCACTATCCTACCTCAGTGTGACCAGCACTCAGGACCATTACCCTACGAATGGGCAGGTAACTTGGACCGAACAGCAGTGATAGGCACCAGGGCTGATAGGTTGCCCAGCCCTGGTGGAAGCGGAATCGGACGAGCCTTGTCGAACGGGAACTTCGGAGGCCGGCCCAGGCAATCTACTACAGGACCCAAGAGACTCTGGGCCCTAGGTTTCAGACAGGGTAGCACCCATTGAAGCAATCTTACCTTCCTTCCCCTAGCTTACCCAAGGCCAGGCGGAACTCGGACCGGCCAGCGCGACTTATACCCATACCGTGACTTCCGAGTCTAAGCCTTTTTTTTTTTTTTTTTTTTTTTTTTTTTTTTTTTTTTTTTTTTTTTTTTTTGGAATTCGCTCCAATCTGTTAGTGGGGAGCTGCACCTGCTGGAAATCGGGTCCAGCATCCCTTTTTAGCAACAATAACGCACCTGCTGGAAACCGGGTCCAGCGTCCCTTGGATTTTCAAAAATAACCAAAGATCCAGCATCCCAAAACGATCCGACACTTGCTGGAAACCAGGTCCAGCGTCCTTTGGCTTCAAAATAGATACTTCAGTTACTAGGGACAGAATTGCCTCTTCACCCTGATCCGGCGCCAGATGTACCTTTTATCCTGGCAATATTTTTACATCTTTATATGAGATCACTCTCCTCTGTACCAAGAGAGCGGAACCAGAACTGAATTGGGTGCAGGAAAAGGATCTGGAAACTCGGAAAGGGGACTGAGAGGGATGGCCTGTCTCGATGGGCCTGAGTTCACGGAATCTATCAAACAGCAAGTTCAACTAGAGATAACAGCGAGATGGGAAACGTTAAAAGCCAAACTCAAATTTCTCACAGCAAAAAATGAAATCCAACAACATATTAAAATGTTTAATCTAAACTGGCTGGGAGGGGAACAAGGTGGTACTATTGGGCAGGTTAAATGGTCAGGGGAGGATGAGAATGCACAAGGAAAACTTTCAAGGAATTACCTCTTAGTCTTTAATGACTGGAGTAATGTTGATCTGGGTCTAAGCCTTATATATAGCCAGTAGACAGTTCTTCTTCTTCTTTTTTTTTTTTTCTTTTTTTTTTCTTTTTTTCCCAAGAAACAGCCCGAACTAATGCTAGGGGTGCTGGTAAGAGCAGACACCACTAGCGCCGTCAGGAAGGCTCCATCTTTTGGTGGGGAGCAGCACCTGCTGGAAATCGGGTCCAGCGCCCCTAAACATGGTTATCATTCGATTTTTCAAGCAAAAGTTTATGACGACTTGTAGTGTATGTGCGTAATCAGATGTATGATGATGAGCAGCATTGATTGCCCTCGTAAAAGGGGATTAACTGCTCATAGACCGTGCGTTCCTTACCCTACCGTGCTCCACCCATCCACCGATAGGTAGACTGTTCATCAGCGAACAAGGGGGGGGGGGAATCACAACAGAGTCAGAAACCACAATCATTTCCCGACAACCCCAACCCTAACCGTAATGACAAGTCTTCTCATCAACCATCCTGGGAAACAATCATCAAACATAGTATAGTAATTATCAAACACAAGACAGGGATGTCAGAAACAGGAAAAAAAAACCTAAACATTCCCCCTACCACCAGAGGGGCCACCACCCCTGCCTGATTGGAGTTGCGGACCGGACAACTCCACTCCCCGCCGACTAACCCACGCCCATCCGCTGCCAACCAACAACTCTGGGCATCCCCCTGCACCCACGATCGATCTCCAAATTGTCCTTAACATCCTTGGCCTCATCGCCATAACCGTAGTTATTATTGCTGTTAATCCTGTCGGTGCTATTGTTGCATCCTGTCGGTGCTATTGTTGCCAGCAGTGCCGCCGATCCCAATAGCGCCGTTATTATCGTCGATCCTTTGACCATCAATTTCATCTCCACAGTTATTGTCGTCGATCCCTTTGCCGTCGATTTTGTCTCCGTAGTTGTCGTCAGCAATAAAACTGTGGTTAACATTCTTAAGTTGTTTGTTGTTGTTGTTGAAGATGTTGAAGTTATTATTGTCGTTATTGTCGCCGTTTTCATTGATGTTCTCACCATCTCCAACGTCAATCCCTTTGCTAACGATGTCGTCTCCACAGTTGTCATTCATGACACCAAGAAAGCTATGGTTGACAATCGTGAGGTTGTTGTTGTTGTTGATGTTTCTATCATTGTTATTGTCGACGTTGTCGTCGCTGTTGTTACCACCGCCACCTCTGACGATGATGTCGTTGTCGTTGCAGTCGTTACAATCGATGTTGATGCTGAAGCTGTTGTCACCTCTGTTCTCTCCATTCGTTGTCGCAGGCGACAATCCCGCCTCCAAGGCTGCACAGCGATCCTGGCCGCTCCTAAAGATGTCGTAGCACCTGTGCATGAGCAAGCCATTTGATGCCAATCCACAAAGTCATCAAGCGAAGGAGCCGGCCCCTCCAACTCCCAAATGACTTCAAGCATACTCTGCATCATGTCCTCCAGCCATGGCTGTAGTGTGACTGTCCCCCCTGCAGCCCCTAACTGATCACCATGGCTCGAACACAAAATATCCACAACCTCCTGCAACCGGCGGCCGCCTTCTTCTATAGTCAGCAACCATTCAGCCGCACCACTTCGTAATTCTTCGTTAGAAACCATGTCGTCAAAAAAAACGCGCCGTCAGATCCTGCCAATCAGACGCCTCACGCCGACGTACCGTCTCCTGGTGTATCCGGTGGGAAATCCACCATCGCCTGGACAGATTGACCAAGCTGACACCACAATGACCAAGAATAGCTATGGAGCCACAACTGTCCCAGTCCACGGAGTATGGCTGGGCCTCGCCAGCCGGTCCGTAGCGCAGGTTAGCGCTAAGCGTCAGCCTCGTCTTGTTCGATTGTTTTCCTGTGATGCTGTACAAACTGTCAACCTCGCTTGCGCTCTACCTATGGTTGATCTTCTCCCTCAAGTCCTGAGCTCGCTGCCACTCCAACTACCGCGGACGTGCGGAAGCTCCCCCTCCTCCCTCGGCCACTAGACAGTTCTACCTTCGCATCAGTAGGAACTCCGGTGGCTCATACCTGTCCCTACCACAGATACTAGACCTCACCGAGTGACTAGACCCCCCCAGTCTGATAGTTGTGTAGTTCGAAATGTATGTGTATACCCGAAGGCTGTGTATCCTTCGTGTATCTATGTAATATGAAGATGTACAGATAGCACTATGTGTTGAAACTTGTGTATGTAGCCCACAGGCCATGTATAATTCGCAAGCTATGTATATGCCCGAAGGCTGTGTGTGCTCTGTGAATCAATGTATCGAGATGTACAGGCAGCATCATGTGTGTATATCGAAGAGAGAATGGGGTAAGCTGGACAAGGACCGCCCCCAAGATCCGAGCCAAGCTCGAACCCGTGACCTTTTTTTTTTTTTTTTTTTTTTTTTTTNGCAGCTGGGTGATCCAGACGAACTTCCAAAGCGGATCCACGATGTGAAATATGCCCAGGGACAAGAGTTGAAGATCTGCATCACTTTGTCCTTCTTTGTGAGCTGTCCCAGCCTTTTGGGGCCTGGTGGAGGGGGGGCTCAGTGCCAGTCCCGGAACCTGACACTCGCTGGACTGATCAGTATGTATTGATGGGGACAGTCTCTCGAAGATCTCTGCAGGCTGACTGATTTCTTTATGCTGAAGAGACAATCAGAGGAGCCATACTTTGGACTCTCTGGACATTGCGAAACTCTGCGGTGAGAAGAGTGGAACGTCTGACTCCACTGATGGTCAGAGCGGAGGTTAAGTTTGGAATTAAAAAAAACGTTTTTGACAGAGTGGGAATATAAAGTTCAAAGAAAAGGATACTCTGCGTAATCTCTCAAACTTTTTGCAAGTAGATGGGGGGCATTCACGAGCTTGCTGACTGTAACTCGAACTCAAAGGAAGCCGCCAGAACTGAGATTTTCAGCATTCTTTCTATGAGTAGCTGGGTAACAGATGTGCATCCGGCTATGGCTGTTTGATGCACGGGGTTTCCCCCCCCTTTCTTTTTTCTTTTTTTTGGGGGGGGGAGTGCCCATAGGTATTTTTGCAGGAACGTTGTTTAGCTAAAATGATTACACATATCCCAAAAAAAAAAAAAAAAAAAAAAAGGGATGATTACACATATGACGGGTAGGTAATGAGTGCTTGAAGGAGTAAGAACAGAGTGTAGATAGATGAGATGTTTCTTTATTATGGACTGCAAGCTAGCATTGTGACTTCAGGACTGATCCTTAGAGAGCCGACAAAGACAAGTTCAGTTTCTTTAATTTCTTGAATTTTCTGCTGCAGTGGGGTTAAGCCTGGGCGGAGTGCCTGGCTCATCCCTGTGGGCTGTGGCTATTTATGTGAGGGGCGCTTGGCCCTTTCCCAGCTTGTAATTGAAAAAGGTTCCCCTTTTTTGCATTAAAAAAGAAAGCAAAAAAGAACGCCCGCCAGGAATGTAAACCCCTTCAGTGATGAGAAAGAATACCTCCCAGGTAGGTCGCGGGAGAAATCGTAGGTCTATTCAGATCCTACTGAGAACTCACAGAGCCTGAAAATTGTTCAGATAAGCCTGCAGCCCGGAGTTTCGTTTTTAGTGTGTTAATTTTAGCGCTAATGCGCTAGCGCCTCGCGACCCGCGGACGGCTGGGCCCGTCCGCCAGGTCTCGCGCAAGGCTCGTGGGGTCGGGCGCCCTATCGGCCGTCTGCCCTCGCGCGTCTTGAGCATCCGCGGCCCCGACTGGTGTTTGCCGGAGTGGGAAGCCCACATGTCGCCTGCGGGATGCAGTCACGCTAGCGCGATCGCTGAAAGGATGCACTACGGCTAACGTATGGTGATGTCGAAAGCAGGTGGTGGCATGGTGGTGGTGCGATTGACGGAGCTGGACCGTTGATCGGACTGGATGAGGGACATAAAGATCTTGGCGAGGAAGATCGGGTGATGGTGATTTGCGTATGGGCGGGAGGACGGTGTAACCGGTTGGTGTTTGCCGGAGTGGGAAGCCCACGTGTCGCCTGCGGGATGCAGTCACACCAGCGCGATCGCTGAAAGGATGCACCGCGGCTAACGTATGGTGATGTCGAAAGCAGGTGGTGGCATGGTGGTGGTGCGATTGACAGAGCTGGACCGTTGATCGGGATGGAGGAGGGAAGTAAAGACTTTGGCGAGGAAGATCGGGTGATGGTGATCTGCGTACGTGTTAGAGGACGGTGTAAATGGCTGGTGTTTGCTGGAGTGGGAAGCCCACGTTTCGCCTGCGGGATGCAGTCACGCTAGCGCGATCGCTGAAAGGATGCACCCCGGCTACCGTATGGTGATGTCGAAAGCAGGTGGGGGCATGGTGGTGGTGCGATTGACGGAGCTGGACCGCTGATCGGACTGGATGAGGGACGTAAAGACTCTGGCAAGGAAGATTGCTTGATGGCAATTTGCGTACGACCGGGAGGACGGTGTAAACCGGCGTCGGTCACAACGATGTCCAAGGAGGGCAGGTGATTTGAGCTTGCCCGGGGTCTTGATTCGCTCATGGAAGGCGGATCGACTACGACTATGCGTGGTGATCTTGAAAACGGTGGGACCAGGAGGATGCTCTGTCTCGGTGACGAAATGACATGTGGCGACTGCGACTAGGTATGGTGATGTCGAAAACGGTGGGACCAGGTGGTATGGTGGTGTGGTCTCGTCAGCTGTTGGCGAAAGAGGCGGGGGAGTGGATGTCACGAACGGGKGATGGTATGGTGACGTCGAAAACGGTGGGACCAGGTGGTATGGTGGTGTGGTGTGATTGACGGAGCTGGAGTGCTCGTCAGCCGTTGGCGAAAGAGGCGGAGGAGAGGATGTCATGAACGGGTGATGATCAAAGAAAGACCGCGGAGTATTGGTGAACTGAGCACGCGCGGGAAGATGTTGTGAACCGCCGACAGACAAACCAAGGTTGCGGAGGAAAGGCGATCTGATCACGAGTGGGGTCCCGTTTCGTACATGGGGAGCAGATCGACGAGCAGCGGGAGGCATGACCGGTGGTACGGTGATGACAGTGCTTGCCGGGTGACTCTCTCCTCATTCCCAGTTCCCTGCCCTGATTCTCTGACCCTCGGATCTGCTCTGCTGTCCCTGCCTATCGCTCTCACCCTCGCCCCATTTTCCCTACCCCTGCTGACCATCGTGCATGCACCCTCCACTCTTGGACCGTGTCCCGGACTAAAAAACTAGAAAACTGCCCGATGCACATGCCCCCTTGTTGACTTCACACATACACTGCTACTGATCATGCATGACTAATTACGTTTGAACAACTTGAAGTGTGGTGCTAACCAACAAGGACCCGATCGAAGGGTTTATGGTGCGCTGTCCGAGAGTAAGCTGCTGCCTATTGCTTTACACCTGACGCTATCATAACACACGTGCGCGGCTACGAAGGACGGTCGTGTCGAAAATGCATGATGCATGAAGCTGCTAATAAAACTGTCATGGGATGGTTCTGTGACGTGTAACGGCTGATTTGTTGTTCTTTGGGTCATACACAAACACCAACCCCGGGCATATGGACCACGAAATTCGGGGGCTTCTCTTGCAAGCACGGAGATGCCTAACATCCATCCTCATCACATGTGAGCTCCCCTCCTTCTGTTCTACCCTCGCTTGCTCTGCATTACTCCTTCTGTTATCCACTCCCTCGGTTAGCTCTCGCTTGGCTTGTGTCTTGTGTCTTCTGTCCTATCGTCTCCCCTGCCTCTTACTCACAAGTAAAGCGACACTGCGATGACGAAGAACAAAACGACACAACGCATGAGGGAGGGTGGGACATCGCCAGGGTCACCCCCCCCTGTTGTCGCTAATACAAAACGAGTGGATCCACCAGGGAAAACACGAGAGGGGGGGAATGACTTACGAAAAGATAGGCATGCCCGCCCTTCCTCTCCTCATGCCCGTCCTCGGCTGGGGGAAGATAAAGCAGCATCCAACCATGACCTTCCCTCCAGTCACGGAACCGGGTGGGCGAGAATTGGAAACGACCCCAGGGACAGAGGGGGAAACCCCAGTGAGGGGGGAAGGACCGAAGGCCGTCTGTCGGAAGACTGAACGCGAGGAGTCGGGCTCGGGACCTCCCCCCCGAAATGGGGCGACCCCCTCTTCCTCTAACAGCCAAAAAGCCGCGACACATGCTCACGGGAAGGACGAGTCAACAACAGTAGCGGGGGAGGGAAAGCAAGATGCCCCATGGAAGACTGCGCTTGAAGCACCGGGAGCTGGACCCGGTCTGCGATGTGGAGCTCCCCCCCCCATGCCCCGAAACGGGGTGGCCCCCTCTTCCTCTAACAGCCAAAATGCTGCAACACATGCTCACGGGAAGGACGAGTCAACAACAGCAGCGGGGGAGGGGAAGAAAGATGCCATATGGAAGACTGCGCTTGAAGCATCGGGATCTGGACCCACTCTGCGATGTGGAGCTACCCCCCCTTTGCCCGACAACAGGAAGCCCCCCCCCCCTCAATTGATTAGGGCACTCTCTGCCCCCGCACAGTCAGATGCATACAGGTCCTCCATACTGGCCACCATGGCTCCTCTAAAAAGCCACCTGATTCGACAACTCTATGTCGAGCCACAAAGGAAGTTCCAGATCCGGGATGGCTATGTCTATCCCCACTCGGTTTTTCCCTCCCAGGCACGCGCGGCAAGGGACGCGATCTACTCCCACTGAGCACTGCAGTTTCGCTTTCAAACCCTGCAAACGGCGATCCCGATCAACGATAAAGTCAAATGGATTGCAGATAAGCTCGGCAGGATTAAATCGGACCGACGATTGGTACACGACCACTTCCTCGTTGAGGTGGAGAACCCGGACTGTATCACCGTGCTTGCATTATATCCGACTGATAAATATATTATATTGAGAAATAACACCATGCAATTTCGGGGTGCTCCGGTGCAGGTGTCGACGTGGACCCCTGCCAACCCACAATCAAGTGATGATAGAAGGGAGTACCTTATGAAAGCTAACTTCTGGGTTGAGTTTAGATTCGCCCCGCTTTGCGTGCAAGGTGCGATTCTGACCGACCTTGAGAGCATCGCCCCGGTTAAAGGCTATATGACGGATCTACCACAATTCTTGGGAAAAAGGGACGACTCCCTCCTGGTAGCTGTTGATTGGGATTCGAACTTTCCCTTCCCCCTTAACGGAGAGTGGAGATACTCCTATGGGGGAAAGGAGTTCTCTGTGCCTGTCAGCCACTCCCAGGACCCTTGGTGCTATGCATGCAAGCAGAGAGGCCATCTCTGCTTTGATGACTCCCGCCTCAACAATAACAGACCAAAGATCAGGGGACTGATGACCCCCCATCCCACAGATGAGGAATGGTGGTACCCGGAGGAAAAGGAATTGGAAGGGTGGATCTTCCGTGCATATGCGGATGGCCGACCCGGGAAGTGGCTCTGGCACAGTAAAGATCAACCAAAAGCGTTTCCAGTCGGAGCGAGGGTGCACGTCGATGATGACCCTTAACAGAAAGGTAAACGCAAATCCACGCCGAGACCCAGAAAAAAACAGAGCAGTGACCGGCCACTGCCTATTGCTGACAACAGGGGTGTAACTGGGACAAGCAAACAGGCAACCCCCGAGTTGCGAAATACGCCCCCCCCAGCTCGTCCCCAACAGGTGTACAAGCCGAAACAACACGGGGACCAGGGCCAGGGAAACAAGCAGCCCCGCCACACACCTCCAGTAGGCGACTGTCAGGAGCCGCCACCTCCTCTTCGTAGAGAAGACAAAATGCCCCCCTCTACATCTCAGTCTTAGTTGGAAGGACGGATCCTGGCCCCTACACTGGACCGTGGGATTGGGGGGCATGGCGGGAGGGGTCAGGACAGCAAACAGGAAGTAGAATGCCCGGGCCCGCCGTCCTTGGACAACTCCACTGCCCTGAGGGCTGCTGCCCTGCCGACAGCGGGCAGTGGTGGTGGGCCGGGGGGCCCGGCCCTGAAGGATGCGCAAGCTGAAGCCAAGGTGTCTCACCCACTCATTCATATGCACTTGCAGTCATCCTTGGGCCCGAAATCCCCTGCGCCTCTGCCCCAAACCCGCCCTCTGTATTTGATGCAGCCCCTTCCTCCCGGGGCTGAAAGCCAGGGGCAGACGAGGCTATCATAATATACAAACCGCCAAACGAGGTTCTGCTGCAAACTGAAGCCCCCTCGGCGGCCCTTCGAAAGACTGCAAAGGCCCCATCCCCACAGAATAGGTGGCTTAAAGCAATCTCGACTATAAATAAAATCAATGGAGCGGTTTTTCCTCAACCCTGCTCCGAACAGACTGCCCACCTCGACCGCGACAGCGCAGACCTCGCCAAACAACGGCCTACGGACCAGCTGCCCCACGGCCGCGATCCGCAGAGAGAGCAGGGGGAGGGGGGGGGGAAACAGGCTGTAATGCACTCGCAGCAGCTCTCGCCACAGCTGCTGCAAAACTGTGAATTGCAGCAGCTCCCTGGGCGACAGGATCACAAACCTGACGGGATACCGCTCCAACAGCAAACCTGGCCCCAGGTTCAACAAAATCCCCAGGTCCAGCCTGCCACCTGCGGTACTCAGCAAGCCCAACCCCAACTCCCGGCTGCAGGCCTGCCTCGAGACCACGAGGACCGACCGTGCCACCCTCACCACGAACCACATTTGGAGCTAGTGGCGGATACGCATCAGCGCTTACCTCATGCTCATGGGGCTCACTGCCAACATAGCCATGAGAACCGAATGGTGCTGGTGCAACCACAGCAGCAGCTAACGGCCAGTGCCGAACAGGAACAACGCTGGTCGTATGCTTTTTCGAAATCAATAAACAAGATTGCTGTTGGGACTTTCAGTTGCCTTGCATACTTTATGGTCTCATTGACCAGGAGTATGTTGTCTTGGATGTTACGGTTGGGCATGAACCCGGTCTGGTCAGGATGGATCAGCATGTTCATTAGAGGTAGCAGTCCGTTGACTAAAGCTTTGGCCACCATTTTGTAGGGGACGGGGAGGAGGGTGATTGGTCTATAGTTTCTTATGTCCTCTTTATCCCCTTACTTATAGAGAAGCGTGGTGACCCCCTGCCCAATCATGGCCCCCAGGGAGCCTTCTGTCTGTATCGCCGCGATGTAGCCCATAAGGTCATCCTGGAGCAGGTCCCAGAAATGCACCCAAAACTCGTTTGGGAAGGAGTCAATGCCCGACGTTTTCTCGTCCTCCATTCCTTTGAGGGCTTCCCATATTTTGGGTGGAGAGAGGGGTTTGTCCAGCATGTGCCTTTGGTCCGATGTGAGGCATGATTGGACCGATTGCAATAGGTTCTCCCTTGCTTGTCGGACCTCAAGGGTTTTTTTTTCAGGAGTCTGGGAGGTGAAGAGATGCTGGTAATATTGGGATGCATAGTCTGTTATTGCATAAGCGTTGGTGGTTGCGGGCGCGTCGTCCAGGAGGGGGTGTTTGAGGCTAGGGACGGCAGCGGCCCTGGTTCTTGCTTTAGCCCTGGCAAAAAAGGACTTCGCCATTGTCCCATCGGTGTGAATTCTCTTGATTTTAGCCTGAATCCTCCATGCTTGTGTCCGCCTTTCAATATAGGCGAGGAGGTGGTCGCGCGCCTCTTGCAGCTTCTGGAACGAGGGGAGGTGTAACAGATTGTCGATTTGTGTATTGTCCCACTCTTCCAGATCTAGCATGAGTTTATCAAGGATGGCTTTACGATCCCTTGCATGCTGAATGGAAAATTTTTTGGTCCTATCCCTTAGCTGAGTCATACCTTCATTAAACCAGGCCACTTTATTCCATCGACACCGGTTTCTGAGTTTGCCAATACTGCCAGAACTTTTTAACCAACTCCTCAAATTTGGGTAGGGCTAGCAGTGAGGCATTGAATTTATAGAAACCCGCCCCCCTGGCGATGTGAGCATGAAAGGACAGGCCTAGCGTAATCATTTTATGGTCAAAGGACTTGCAGGGGCTAATAGCAGTGATCTCGGCTGTGGTGACCAGTCCGAGGAGGTCCTTCGAAACTAGCGTAAGGTCGATGCGAGAGGTAGCGGGGCCATGATCACCTCTGGAAGACACACACGTGTAGGCCCTTTGGGTTGGGTGCAGCATTCTATAAGCGTCCTCCAGGCCCCTATCAGCCATCAGCTGCCTGAGCATCTGGGTGTCCGGCCCTACATGCGGCAGGGATGGGTTTTGCGCGTCATGGCGTTGCGAAGTTGACCTTCGATCCAACATCGGGTCTAAGGTGGTGTTAAAGTCCCCCGCCATTATAACCAGGGCGTCATCCGGGAGGTGTTGATATAGGGTGAGCCAGAGGTCCACCCTGTGCACCGGGTCATTGGGGGCATAGACATTAACGAGGTAGAACTCTTCTTCTCCGTATGCCATTTTCAGGGATACCCACCTGCCCGACTGATCATCGTATTGTGCAGACAGAGGGGTAAGTCTCGAAGAAGGAGGGATCCAGATCGCCACCCCAGCAGATGCCCTTTCTTTTGTCGGCGCTTGGTAGGACGTGTAGGGTCAGATGGCATTTCCTTTTCCCACATGCGGGGGGGTGTCTTGGAGGTGTGTTTCTTGGATACACACCGCATCCGGCCATCCGTTAGTGGCCGGGTTCTTCAGCATTGCCCAAATGGCCTGCCTCTTTTCCGGTGTTGCCTGTATGAGGCCATTGATGTTGAGCGAACGGATGTTGATGTCAGCCCGGGCCAATTTAGTTGCCCACTGAGGCGGGTTTCTAATTTTGGGGAACACCGGAGGGGGTGGGGGGCAGAGAGGCGGTGGCGGGGGGGCCGGGGCCTGTGCCGGCCCGGTAGTCGAGAGTTGCGTTGGCAAGCCACCTGCCTGATGTTGGTCGCTGTGTTGTTGCTGCATGACAGAGTCAGCCATCGCAGGTGAGTGGTTAGGACAATGGGTCATCCCAATATCTCCCGGGTAGTACTTAGGCCAAGGTCTTAACAGGGAGGACAAAAGAGGGGTCATCCCATTGGTTGTGCATTTCCAGCACACTATCCTCCAAGAAGATCTGCATGAACATTAGTACGTGGCTGACTGTCCTCAGCATTGGCCCTAAAGCGGGAGGCAGAGAGGTCCATGAGCTGTCTGTGGTTAAACCATAAGAAGCCGTTGGGCGTTTTTTGCAGTCTCGTCCTAGGGTCAACCAGCAAAAGGACCAGGGAGATGCCCTTTGGAAATGAGAGTGAGTTGGGCCACACCGCTCCTAGCACCCCAGTGGTAGTTGTGTCAGTCAACCAGTGCTTTAGGCGTTTAAGGATGACTTCTGTGGAGGGGTTGCCTCTCCATCCGTCCACCGTGAGGCCCACTGGGGCAGCATTGTGGTTGCTGGCTTCCCGCAGTGGGGGCCGAAGACCCAGCACCCACTCCCCGCCTTGTTTGACCCTGGTGACCGGGAAAAGGACCAGTCCAGGTGGCATCGCCACCGGGGCGCTATCGTCAAATTGGAGTCTCACCAGTTCCCTCAGTTTCTTTGGGGGGGATGGGTCAGGCGGGTCCTCGTCTGGTGCAAACTGTCGTCGTCGTCATCGTGAATGATTTCTATCACAGCGACATGATGGGAGGGGGTAGTGACCAACTCGTGGTTGACTTGATCCTGCGGCCGGTGTGACCCTTATTGTGATTGGCCGTTTTGCAGAGCCAAGCAGGAACCATTTTGGGACAGTTCGAGCTCTCGATGCACCTCCGGGGGGGCATAAAGAGTTGCACAGAGTTCGTGCACCAGGGCTCTGGGCCAAGCGAGACCTTCATGGAGGAATGCCTCGTCCTAAGGGCCAGTTTGATCTGCATGACAATTTCTGGCATAGTTGTCTATCTTACCCAGAAACTCGTTGACGACAAGGACAATAGTTGCCCCCACATCCATCCAGTCAATCGCAGTGACTGTCTTATACTTCTCCATTGTCGCAAGGACTCTGGGACTGTATATGAGCACCGTTTTTGCCTCCCCGCAATATTTCGTTTTCAGTTTATCTTGCGGTCTGTCATCCGTGAGGGAGAAGATTTTGGCGAGGGTCCAATCAGTCAGAAACTAGAGTTTCTGTTTGACCTCATCATTGGTTGACAGCTGGGGGGGAGGAGGGGGCTGCAGATGTGTCTGCTGCATCTCTGGCGGGGGCAGTTCGAGTTCCATAGCCACCGGCGCGGCTTGCTGGCTTTGTGTTGCTTTGTTGCAGCAGGGCCACGTATTCCGGGGCAGATGTGTCCATGTCTTGGGGAGGGCATCCGTCACCGTGATTTTCCGACCCCCCACAGATCATGTCCTGGTGCAGAGGCGGCGCCCCACAGATCGTGTCCTGGTGCAGAGGCGGCCGTGACTGGTGGGCATTTTGGTGAGCGACCTGTTGCTGCCAATACATGTGCAACTGCTCTTGTTGCCGTTGCAGCACTTGTTGTTGCTGGCAGCATAGTTGCTGCTGCCATTGCAAATGCATTTGCTGAAGAAGTTGTTGCTGATGGATCAGCCTCTGCTGGTATTGCTGTTGGTGGTATTGCGCCAGTTGGGCTTGCAGCAGAATGTGGAGTTGCTCCTCACATTGGCTGTTCTGCTGCTGTTGGAGTTCCTGGGTCTGCCGCTGTGCTTGACTCATCAACTGCAACTGGACATGGTGATGATGTTGGTGATATTGCTGCCGCAATTGTTGGTGACGTTGTTGTTGCAGTTGTTGGTGCACTTGTAGCTGCTGTTGCTGTTGGAGGCCTTGGAGCAGAGCAGTTTGGTGGTGAACGGGATCAGGTGGTTGCTGCTGCTGCTGCTGCTGCTGGTGCAGAAGCACTTGCCCGTCTGGTTGTGCACCCAGGTGTTCATGACTCACCTCCATGCGCTGCGGCAGGTCAGCAGGGTCATATTGCTGCTGTTCTCCCGCGGTGGATGCCTATTGTCGGTCGCAATGTAGGTGGTTCAGACTCTGGTGTTGTATGGTGGCCGGGTAGTGCTGTTGTTGCTGGTGCGACTGGGGTTGCTCCCGTGGCTTCACCGGAGTGAGCTGCTGATCCTGGCATGGGACCCCTAATTCATGGCCGAGGGGGGAGGTCGGTTGATGAGGCAGGATCCGTTGTTGTCCGTGATCCCCTTTGATGTGCAGTTGGCGGTCACCGGGGTGCTGTAGCCCCTCCAGCATCCCCTGACCGAGTGGTTGGGGCTGGCGTTGTTCCTGGTTAGCGCTGGCCGTCGGCTGTTGCTGTAGTTGCACCGGCACCATTCGACTCTCATGGCTATGTTGGCAGTGAGCCCCCTGACCGAGTGATTGGGCCTGGCGTTGTTCCTGTTCGGCGCTGGCCGTCAGCTGCTGCTGCAGTTGCACCGGCAGCATTCGGCTGTCATGGCTATGTTGGCAGTGAGTCCCATAAGCATAAGGTAACCGCTGTTGCGCATCCGCCACTAGCTCAAAATGTGGTCCGTGGTGAGGGTGGCACGCTCGGTCCTCGTGGTCCTGAGGCAGGACTGCAGCAAGGAGTTGGGGTTGAGCTTGCTGAATACTGCAGCTGGCAGGCTGGACCTGGGGATTTTGTTGAACCTGAGGCCAGTTTTGTTGTTGGAGCGGTACCCCATCAGGTTTGTGATCTTGTCGCCCAGGGGGCTGCTGCAATTCGCCGTGTTGCAGCAGCCGTGGCGAGTGCTGCTGCGAGTGCATTATTGTCTGTTTCCCTCCCCCCTCTCCCTGCTCTCTCTGCGGATCGCAGCCGTGGGGCAGCTGGTCCGTAGACCGTTGTTTGGCGAGGGCCTGGTGTTGTTCCTGTTCGGCGCTGGCCGTCAGCTGCTGCTATAGTTGCACCGGCACCATTCGGCTCTCATGGCTATGTTGGCAGTGAGCCCCCTGACCGAGTTCTGGATATGTGTTTGGTGAAAATGAACTTCGGACTGACATTTTGTCGATGGATCCGCCTTCTCCATAAATCGGCCACCACAAACATTATGCTAAATGGCCACCTCTCGCCCCCCATTGCGCTTCAGCGATCGGTGCGCCAGGGGGATCCCATTGTACCCCTACTCTTCGTCATAGTCATGGAGACCCTGGCTTCACTTATCAGGGTCCACCCTCAGATCAGTAAGGTGCCCATCCCTGAGCTTCCGAAGCATCTTATCCCAATGACCTCGCTGTTTGCAGATGACTTGACCGTTCTCATAAAAGCCGACGCTGACAACATCCGGCCCCTCTCGCATGTCATTCACCAGTTCTCGCTTGCAGCAGACATGAAAGTTAATTGGGGCTCCAAAACGGAAGGATGGTGGCTGTCTCCGCAACAACAGACCCCGCCGCCACAACCGGCGGTCAAATGGAAGACGAATGAGGAGGCCATCCGGATTCTCGGCGTGAGGCTTACAGCACTTGGGCCCCCTCTGGATCATAGGGATGCACTGGTGAATTTAGCGATTGAGCGGCTAGCAAGGTGGGAGGGTCTCCATACTTCGTTAGTGGGACGGACTCTAGCTATTAACAACGCAGTCCTTGCCGCAATCTGGGACAAACTTGCAGTATGGCCACTGACGAAACACCAGTATGCCAGGCTTCGAAAAGCGCTCACGACTCACCTTTGGAAAAACAAAGCAGACTCCCAAGGCTGTATGAATAGAGTCGCCTGGGACATCGTCACCCAACCAAGGCCAGGGGGACTTGGGATACTCGACCCGGAAAGGGAGAGTGACGCCCTAATGTTCAAGGTGCTGGTCAGGCTGCTGCTAGGGAACGATATCCCCTGGAGCCCCCTGGCCTGTATACAAATAGCCAATTTGTCCCCGCAGCCATTGACTGGAATCAGAGTGCACCCGTTCCGATGGCTGACCAACAGCCACTGGACAATCCYGCGCCCGRCCCAACAGGGACAGCTGGGGGCCACTCAGGACCAAGCGGCCAGACAGGATATCTCGAATGATCCTTTAYGRCCGTGTATGATCAAACTCTGGCGAAAGCGTGGCCCGTCGCTCAAACGCCCGCAAAACAGGTGGCACACGGTGTGGCGACAACCACTTTTTGGCAACCCCCACATCCTGGATCATGCCGGTAATCCCTTCCCCCTCACCACGACCTCGCACTGGTTAAT